AGATAGAACTTGTTAGGGCAAACTCTATATGGGGCAAATCCGCTTTGTATTAGCTTTCTAGGGTTTAATAAAAGTAGTACATTTTAAATTGATTGAGAACTTATCAAGACAAGGTAAGCACTTATAATATATTTTTTATTTTCTTTAGATTTTTAAGAGGTTAGTACTAGTTTAATCTTTTTTTTTGTATTTGATAGCAACACAAAGCCACAGAAAAAAAAACGTAAATAATAAATGTTTCAAAATTACCTATCTATGTGTGTTATAATTACCTACAAATGGCGCATCAAATAGCAATAGTAGGAAAATAAATTATACTATATTAGTTGTGTACTAAAACTTGGCCGATGGAATAAAATATTCAGCTGTATACCACTCTAAGAACAACATAAAAAGCCTGTAAGCTCAGCAAGCACCTATAACCGAAGATAAACGATCCTCAGCTAAAATTAAATCAACCCCCAATAAATTTCGAATCGATCTCTCATTACATCGATCATATAAAAAAACCTATTTGCGATTTTTACGACTTAGGCCCTTTGTGGGGCCATAACCAGATATGGTTCCCTTTTGTGATATGGGCAATACTTCAATTTTATAGTTCATAGTTCACACGGCCGGATCGCAAGTTAAAGAAAGGGGCTAAGTATGGGATGATTTAGTGCGGTCATATAATGTGGATAATCGGAGGATAGCACTTAAAGTGAGCTTTAAACATCGCTGGGTTGCGGTGAGGTAAGTTGGTGGTTAAGCTATCTTCTACTGGGTGGAAACGATAAGTGATCTCACGCGATTAATTTCTAAACTGTACAAGTTATCGAAAAACTGATTACTGATCCTGAAAGTGCTTTACGAGCTCTTTCAAACGATATCAGTAATAGGTTACAAAATTAAGTGAATCTATCCGAAAATTCAATGTTTTCAGCCTCCATACTAAATGTATGCCACTTTGCCAGCCACACAATATTAGAAGTGTTTTTTTTTATTTTAATTTATTAACACTTAAAATTAACTTGTAATTTGCATTCTAATTTAAAATTATTCATGGAAAACATTGGTTTTAGGCTTTACTTGCTATAATATTATCAAGACATGACTGCCATGACTGTGGCAGTACTAAATGTATGGAAGCTGGAAACATTGAATTTTCAGATAGATCCAGTTTATTTTATAACCTGTTATTGGTACCGTTGAATAGAGCTCGTGAAGCACTTAGTTAGCAGATGTAGTTTCAAGTGTAATAAGTAGGTACTTAGTGATCTTTTCGAAAGCTCTTACTAGGAAAATATTTTTTAATATATTGTCATTCGAAATCAAAGTCTGCAATTACAGTCTGCAAAACTCGATATTATAATATCATTTTAAGAATTATTAAAGATTTTAAATTCCATTAAAATCAACAAAATAATAATTGAAGACTCTGTGCCGTCTACTTACCACAACCCTTTCCTGGCTTTTTCAAGTCACAGAATATTTATGCTCAAGCGAACTCATCTGTGTACCAGGTATTTATGTCTACGGTTTTTTATTTTTGTTACTACGTCTGATTAGTGGACATTAAACGATAGTGCGTCAAGTTATGCGTCGAAGACAGTCGTAAATTCTGACGCTGTCATATTTGTGGCGTATTGATTCATGGCTTGAGGACTCTTTTGTATCTTTATAGCTAGCTAGAAATAGGTAGATACCTAAAATTTAAATATAGGTACATAAGCTAAAAGACTTATGTGACTGCACCAGACAGTCTGCCAACAGAGAGAGATGGCGGGAGATCGAGCGGAGAGTTGTATCCGCCTCTACAACCGATGTGAACAACGCGTCAACGTGACCACGACCACTCTGCCAAGAGCAAAACGAATAAGAAGAAGAAGCAAAAGATTTTTAGGATGAATTTATCAAAATACTTAGTTCTCAATGTGGTGAAAAGAAAATGGTCGCCTGGCCTATTTATTCATGTACCGGGCTACCGACTTACCGAGGTTCGATTCTCGCACACTAAAAATATTTTGTATGCCTGAAATTATCAGTTTGAAAACTTGTAATGATTCAGTGTTTTCTATTTAATTCACTTAAACTCACTTTTTGGATCAGTCCAAAATTTCAGCCTCAAGATATTTGTAAGTACCATTAAGTCACAACGTATTAAGACACAGATTTAATATTAATTTATAGATAACTGTGCCTAACAATAACGGCATATTATGTCCGAAGTAAACTTTATGTTCTATAAACATTACGACCCAATAATCGAGATTGTAAGCATTAAAATCTTATTAATATAGCCAATTCTAGAAGATGACTGCCGCACAATTTATAAACGCAGTAAGTACCACTTACTGCATTTATGATTGTTTTGAATATTCTGAATCCTGACATCGCGATCTATAAGAATCAAAGACCCGTTTTTTTCTATCTATCTTAGAACGGAAGATACATGTTATCATAAACGCAGTAAAGAGCAGATTGTAGGTTTCTTCACATACTATGTTAGCAGTAAGAGCACATAATAACTTAATATTACGTGAATACTCGCGCTTACTTAATTTGCTACACAGTAATAGTGCAGTATGTGCCAATTACATCATTCTTATTATGTTTCTACAATTGTTAAGTTCACCTTGCACATAGTATATGTGCAGTAATTCCACTTAAACACACACTGATATTATGTTTTCACAGAAAAAACAGATGACTTGTACTTAATATTAATGCAGTAATTACAATTATACTGCGTACATACTAAGGATTGTCAGAGTGCTGCCTAGGTGTTAACATGTTATGAACGCAGTGGCTGACTCTTACGTTATTGGAAGAAGTTGAAAACCTGTCCAAATGACAAATCTAGCCGAAGACCCAAGAGCTAGATTGACCCGACACTATACCGAAGATATCCCGGACGTGTCTGTACGAGATTAGAATGGCTCTCAAACAGCTGAAAAACAACAAGGCACCGGGCGATGATGGAATCACGGCTGAGCTTCTGAAATCAGGCGGAACGCCGGTACTAAAGGCTCTTTAGAAGCTATTCGATTCCGTCATCCTTGAGGGAAAAACGCCTACGGCATGGCACAGAAGTGTGGTGATACTCTTCTTCAAAAAAGGCAACAAAACCTTGTTGAAGAATTTATTTTATACCCATCTCACTTCTGATTCTGTTTTTGAGAGTCATCATGAATGGTTTCACGCGACATCTAGCCTCCCGAACAAATCGGTTTCCGATAAGGCTTTAGTATGATAGACCACATACTTATCTATGGCAGAAAACTGAGGAGAATAATCAGCAACTTTGTCTGGCATTTGTGGTCTATGAGAAAGACTTCTCTCTTCAAGCTACAGTCTCTCCAACGGTGCCAAATTTACTATAGATATTTATAATCGTTGAAGGGCTTGTACGAATAGGCCACAATGTCAGTCCGTCTCCGGGATCAGGACTTCAGTTGCAGCGAGGGGTCAGACAGGGAGATGTCATATTTCTAAAACTGTTCACTACCACTCTGGAAGATGTTTTCAAGCTTCTGGACTGGAGCGGATTGGGCATAAATATCATCAGCGAGTACATCACCCATCTTTGATTCGCGGACGATATCGTAGTCATGGCTGAGAACGTGGAGGATCTAAGCTCAATCCTCGATTGCCTCAATAGAGCCTCTCAACAAATGGGTCTTTAATGGACAAGACAAAAATCATGTCAAATGCCGTGCTGTACCCACTCCTCTGAAGGTTGGAGACACTATAAGTTGTCTGATGGCCGCTGGGGCAGGAAAGTTCTTGAGTGGCGACCATGAGCTGGAAGACGCAGCTTGGGCAAGCCTCACACTAGGTGGACCGATGATCTGGTGAAGGTCGCGTCAGGTGCCTGTATGCGAGCGGCACAGGACCGGTCTTTGTGGAAATCCTTGGGGGAGGCCGTTGTCCAGCAGTGGACGTCTTTCGGCTGAAACGAACGACCGAGTCTTTATTTTATTAGATTGGTATATTTAAGATCTAAAAGTGGGTGCCATATCTTAATTTTTGATTTAATAACAAGCGATCTCAGCAATTATTTTGTAATACTTGTTTCATTTACCCCTTGGTCATTTGGGAAAGTTCAACATGAAAGCGTTATTGGCTTATGATAAGCGCAGTATAATTGTATTATTACTGCGCATTTAAAGTTTTGATAAATTATTTTGATTCACACTCCCACTCATAAATGCAGTAAGTTGTAAAGATACGGCGCATATATTACGTTGTAAGAACTAAAATTTAAATCAATCATTTAACACATGTACCGTAAGTAACGAAAACTACTGATAAACGCAGTAAGGAACAATCATACTGCATTCATGGGTAGTAAGTATCGAACGAAAACTTAGTTAATCCATAACATAAACAGTTTTTTAATAATTTTAAATACAAAATATTAATTAAAATACAAAAGCCTCATATCAAAATAAACTTTGAGTTTAGCTCTATAAGCCCATATAATTTTTTTTACAAATATTTGCGTAACTAATTGTAGACACCCCAAAATAAAATTTCAACTTTGATCGCGTTTTTCTCGAAACTGTTCAAGTGTTACTTACTGCGTTTATAAATTGTGCGGCAGATGAGCTGTCTATGGGATAGTTATGGGATTAATCATGAAACTATGTTCGGTTTTCATAGATAAAATTCGAAAGTAATTGCATGTCCATGACCATTTTCGCACATCGGTAGTGCTAATTTCGATTTTAATAATTTAAGGTTCCTATAAAAATAGAGCCCATAAAAATAGAGGTTTTATTCAGATTTGAATATTGAAAATCAGATTTGAATTCTTTACTTTCTATAATATAGTAAAACTATTAAAAATATTACGCACCTATTTGGCTGTAACGAAACATTTGAAAAAACTTTGTTTATAAATTTATTCTTACACATTTTTAACATTTTACGTTAAACACCATACCACGCCTCAAAATACTGCAACATAACAAAATTAAAGGCGGGCTTTACATTATTTTAATTAAATTAATTAAATAATTATTTATTTCAATCACATTGGGATCATATTAGTTAAGGTTAGTTTACATTCAAATTTAAAATTAAATAAATCAATAAAATATATCCAACATTACAATTTACATAATTACATTAATTTCAATAATAATTTCAATAATGTCATGGTTATTTTAAATTAGGCAGCACATGAATCATGCAACAATGATTCATGTACTGACAGTCAAAACGCTCAGAGAATAGCCTCAGGATACTGTTTGAGCTCCCCCAGGTCCGGCGCACCAGGGATGCGCACCTTTTTCGCATCGTTGTGTAAAAACAATCTACGCCGAATTCGGCAAACATCCCGGACGCGCTACAGAACCGAGACAGCCCCAACAGCACCCTGAAGGCATTATTGAACTGGACACGCAAGGCACTGTACTGCTTCTTAGTGTAATTTATCCATAAACTACTCGTGTATAGGGACGTACAGAAAGCTCTAAAGAGAGTGATTTTAACATCCACTGAGCAGCGAGCAAACCTACGGGCAATCATATTTGCTCTCACAGACAGTGCCCTGCGTTCCCTTTCAATATCCGCATCATCCTTCAAATCAGAGGTCACTAGATGTCCAAGGTATTTAAATTGTTCTACCTTTTTTAAAGGCGCACCATTGAGTTTTATAGATGGAATATTATCTGGACATTTTCCTCTACTATGAAAGACCATACACTCACTTTTCTTCGCGTTGTATATCAAACCATGGCTTTCAGCGTATCTTTCACATATTGCAATGAGTTTCGACAATCCACAGACAGAAGCACTCAGCAGCACCATGTCGTCCGCATAACTTATATTATTAAGACAGACACCGTCTATATGGCAGCCAACATGCGTACTACTGAGCTCCTCTATCAGGGCGTTCACGTAAAGATTGAAGAGCTTCGGCGAGGTCAACCCACCTTGCCTCACCCCGCACTCCAACCTGTACGGATCCGAGTATTCCCCGGCCCACCGAACCACGTTGACCTGGTTCAAGTACCAATATTTCAAAATATGCACTAAGTCACGTGACATAGACAGCTTGTCAAGTTTTTGCCATAGGATGTCATAGGAAACCAGGTCAAACGCTTTGGACAGGTCAAGGAAGCAGGCATATACAGGCGTACTGCGAACTGTGTAGTACTTCACAGTCTGCTTCACACTCAAAATGGCAGCTTCAGTAGACAATCCTGGCCTAAAACCGAATTGATTGTCATGCAGTTTAATATACTTATCAAGTTGAGTGCCAAGCAGACCATCAAGCACCTTAGATATAATGGTTGCCAGTGAGATAGGTCGATAGTTGCCTTTGTCACTTATGTCACCAGTTTTACACTTCACCACTGGAACCACCACGGTCTTCATCATGTCTGCGGGCAAATACGAGTGGCCTATGCACAAACTAAACAGCATTGCCAGTACTCTAGCTAGATGAGGTCCAGCGCATTTTAGATGTTCAACACTAAGGTCATCATGGCCAGGAGATTTTCCACGTGACATCGATTTAATAACTTCTCTGACACCCTTTGCCGTGATTTGTGTACTTGGCTCCCGACCATGCTGAATAAATCGAGATCCAGACTGTTGTGGTCCCAGCGGAGACTTTACAGTAAAATGGTCTCTAAACAAATTTGCTATGCATTTTCGGTCACTCACATCATTAACGCTTACAGGAATGCCAGGCTTATTATTTAACTTATTAGTTGACTTCCAAAAATTTTTAAAATCATTCTTGGCATGGTGTGATGCAAGTATGTCCATTCTAATTTGGTCCCTGTTGTTCTGGCACCATTTCAATCGAGACTTAAACAGCCTACGACTTTCTCTCATCTCATTCCAAACAGGACCCTCCCCTGGTTTACCAGTGAGTACCCAGAGCTCAAATTTTGACCTTGCATTCCTATGCGCCACACTAACATGTTTATTCCACCCTATTACTGGCTTTTTCTTACGAGTACACTTGGGAGTACAGCTATCAGAGGCCGCACGAGATAAAGCATCAACAATGTTGTTATACAAACGGTCAATAGCAAATCTGTGAGTTAAATCATTACACATATAATCGGCACAAGTACTTAATTCATTAGGGAAGTCTATATGCCTCAGATTTTCATGACATAGTTTTTTATACAATTTAATTTGCTCAGGCTGCCTTTCATTCCATCGTACTTTACTACAAAATTTATTTACATTATAATGTGCTGGTTTAATACAATCCAATTTACATTGTACAACCAACGGAAAATGATCCGACCATGTAACATCAAGCTTAACATACACATTTACAATAGTCTGCATGGCAGACTTCGTCACCACGCAATGATCTAGCCAACGTCTCGAACCGTTGGCGTCACTAATGAAGGTATATGTGTCCGACATTAAACCCAAGAAGTCCATGTCAGCACAAATCCAGTCAGACTCAGAACAAAAAGATTGCAACTCATTATAAAATGGTTCATTTGGATGCGCATTAAAGTCACCAAGCACATAAACAGATTGAACACTTTCATTACAAGTAATAGCGCTCACCACACTTAGACAATCCGTGTATTCCACAAGGTTCAATAAGCAATATCGGCAATTTTTCAACTAATGAAAAGTCATTGATAGGTTTTACACCATCTCTTTTTATTTTTATACTTATTTTTAATATTGATTCAATGATAATGATTCGAATCATCATATTGATTCCAATAATCGATTGAGTCAAGTCAGTTCTGCTGATGTAATTGAAGCGAGCACGAGCATCTTAATAAGCACGAAAATATACGTATTTATTAATGACCCTCTCTACGTCCAATGGCTCGTCACCACCACACGGCTCCCAAATCTTGAAAAGGGCCGTCTTAACCAGCGTATCCCTGTCAAGCCACACGAGTTGGATTTGCCCATTCTTGTTCCCAGCCGATCCTTAACTACGGTTGCTGAAACTCTTCCCAGCACTCTCTTGAACGACTCTGTGTTATCTACTGTGGCTGCTCCTCTTCCTTGCACCCTACTGCACGACTGCGTTGCCTAGTCGTATACCTGGTCCAAGGTTCGACGCCACGAAATCAACTTTGTACGCGTGAAAATAGTTTGAATACTATTTCCCGTGCTTGCAACATTTTTTTTTACTGCTTCGCCCCTATTAGACGTAGCGTGATCGTATAATATCCTATAGCCTTCCTCAATTTACGAGCTATCCCACACAAAAATAATTATTTAAATNGAGAAAAGGATGGTACGGCCGTGCTGCTTTTTGCTCGACAGATCTTAGCCAACCTGCATCTGTCTCATAACCCAACTCATAAATCAGCTGCGCCGAGTGAGTTGCGCAAAGTTATCCATGCAGTAAAATATTTCAAGTTAAGATTAGATAGAACTTGTTAGGGCAAACTCTATATGGGGCAAACCCGCTTTGTACTGACTTTCTAAGGATTAATAAGAGTAACTAGTATTTTAAATTGATTAAAAACTTATCAAGGTATAAGGTAAGCGCTTATAATAATTATATGTTATTTTTTATTTTCTTTAGATTTGGTATGTAAAAAACTGACTGACATAGTGATCTATCAACGCACAGCCCAAACCGCTGGATGGATCGGGCTGAAATTTGGCATGCAGGTAGATGTTATGACGTAGGCAACCGCTAAGAAAAGATTTAACGAAACTCCACCCCTAAGGGGTAAAAGGGGATCCACGCGTACGAAGTCGCGGGCGGCCGCTAGTAAATAATAAATGTTTCAAAATTACCTATCTATGTATGTTATAATTACAAATGGCGCATCAAATGTCAATAGTAGGAAAATAAATTAAACCTCTTAAGAATTGTGTACTAAAACTTGGCTGTTACAATAAAATATTTAGCTTTATACCACTCTAAGAACAACATAAAAGCCTGTAAGCTCAGAAAGCACCTATAACCCAAGATAAACGATCCTCAGCTAAAATTAAATCAACCCCCAATAAATTTCGAATCGATCTCTCATTACATCGATCATATAAAAAACCTATTTGCGATTTTTACGACTTAGGCCCTTTGTGGGGCCATAACCAGATATGGTACCCTTTTGTGATATGGGCAATACTTCAATTTTATAGTTCATAGTTCACACGGCCGGATCGCAAGTTAAAGAAAGGGGCTAAGTATTGGATGATTTAGTGCGGTCATATAATGTGGATAATCGGAGGTTAGCACTTAAAGTGAGCTTTTAACATCGCTGGGTTGCGGTGAGGTAAGTTGGTGGGTGAGCTATCTTCTATATAACTTTTACTACAACATTTACCATTAGCTGTCTTTAAACTGAGAGAGCCTGTGTGGTGGTAATACGAGAATGGAGAGTAAAAAACAGTCCTGAGAAGAATGACAACAAAGTACCTAGGTAGTGACTATTAAGAATCTGTGATGTGGTTTAGTTAGCAGATGTAGTTTCAATTCAGGTGTAATAATAATAATCTTTTCGAAAGCTCTTACACTAGGATTTTTTTTTAATAATATATTGTCATTCAAAATCAAAGTTTCTGCAATTATAGTCTGCAAAAATAAATCAAAACTCGATATTATAATATCATTTTAAGAATTATTAAAGATTTTAAATTCCATTAAAATCAACAAAATAATAATTGAAGACTCTATGCCGTCTACTTACCACAGTACTTCCCTGGCTTTTTCAAGTCACAGAATATTTATGCTCGAGCGAACTCATCTGTGTACCAGGTATTTATGTCTACGGTTTTTTACTTTTGTTACTACGTCTGATTAGTGGACATTAAACGATACTGCGTCAAGTTATGCATCGAAGACAGTCGTAAATTCTGACGCTGTCATATTTGTGGCGTATTGATTCATGGCTTGAGGACTCTTTTGTATCTTAATAGCTAGCTAGAAATAGGTAGATACCTAAAATTTAAATATACATCATAAGCTAAAAGACGTATGTGACTGCTCCAGACAGTCTGCCAACAGAGAAAGATGGCGGGAGATCGTGCGGAGAGTTGTATCCGCCTCTACAACCGATGTGAACAACGCCTCAACGTGACCACGACCACTCTGCCAAGAGCGAAACGAATAAGAAGAAGAAGCTAAAAGATTTTTAGCATGAATTTTTCAAAATAGTTACTTAGTTGAAAAATAAATGGTCGCCAGGCCTATTCATTCATGTACCGGACTACCGATTTACCGAGGTTCATAAACATTTTGTATACCTGAAACTATCTGTTTGAAAGCTTGTGTAATTCAGAATGTTTTCTATTAATCCACTTAATTAAGTCACTCTTTGGATCAGTCCAAAACTTCCACCTCAAGATATTTGTAAGTACCATTAAGTTACAACGTATTAAGACACAGATTTAATATTAATTTATAGATAACTATGCTTAACAATAAAGGCCTATGACCGAAGTAAAGTTTATGTACTAATAAACATTACGACCCAATAATCGAGATTGTAAGCATTAAAATCTTATTAATACAGCCAATTATAGAAGATGAGCTGTCTATGGGATAGTTATGGGATTAATCATGAAACTGTGTTCGGTTTTCATAGATCATTCGAAAGTAATTGCTTAGGTCCATGATATTTTCCCATATCGATAGTGCTAATTTCGATTTTAATAATTTAAGGTTCGTAAAAAAATAGAGCAGGTTTTATTCGGAATTGAATATTAAAAATATCTAATCTGATTCAAATTCTTTACTTTCTATAATAGGTATAGTAAAACTATTAAAAATATTACGCACCTATTTGGCTGTAACGAAACATTTGAAAAAACTTTATTTAGAATTATTTTTTTACACATTTTTAACATTTTACGTTAAACCATACCACGCCTCAAAATACTGCAACATAACAAAATTGAAGGCAGGCTTTACATTATGTTATCCCAAGTCGGCTTATTGAGTTTAATGCCTAAACATAATTCGAGATCCGTGTCCAAAATTAAGTATCACAAAAAAAACCCACTCGAATTACGTACACAAATTAGTCATGGCTACGAGCGATCTTATTTTTGAGCTCCCTCATTATAATGTTGTTAAGGACAATCAACATGGAATATAATAATTTGTATTAGCATTTAATTTCATGGACCAACGATCGGCTGTCGAATTTGAGGCGAACGTTCCCACAAACTATGAACTCGGTAACGAGGGATAATTATATTTTTTATTAAAATTATCTGTTACAAGATTGTACTGAAACTTTATTAAATCAATTACGGTATTACTCACTATTCTAAGGCCTCTCGCATACAACACGCTATTGTGAGTGCTATACATTACAGTATACAATTAGGCCCGGTTTCCACCAAGACGGAGCGGAGCGGAGAATAGGGATGCTGACTGGGTAATGAAATTGAAATTCTATTTAGTCCTTCAGACAGATAATTATAAAATATTAGACTCATATTTTTTATTTTTTTCCATAATCGAATAATTACAGTATTATATTGAGTTGAAATGTCATTGCCATTTCAACTCGATGTAGCACTGTTATTATTTAATTATGAATGAAAATAAAAAATATGAGTCTAATATTTTTTAATTATCTGTCTGACAGACAAATACCTAATTGAAATTTTGTCATCTAGCCTATTGTTTTGAATAACCAATCAGATTTCATTATTTTTACTTTTCTTCTCCGCTACGCGCCGCGCTGCCGCCGCTGTCAAATTCTAAAGAAAATTATTTGACGGCTCGACACTTCTCCGCTCCGTCATAGTGGAAACTGAACCTAAAATGAAAACCATACCACAGTATATATATGAGCTAATATCTACTGTGGCCATACGTTGTACGTGCTTTTGTAGGAGCGTGGCCCGGTGCTAGTCAAATTGTATGGAAATATTGCTCCGAGCTGATTTTGTGGTGGGTTATGCTAGAGGCTGAATTTGTTGTTATTTATACATTATAGATATAAATGATTGACGTTAACATAAGGAAAGTCACCAGCAGAAAAGACGACATTTTCAAAGTAATTATTTATTTAGTATTTGTGGCAGTCGTCCTCTACCCAAACCACCATTTCAGAATTCTCAATGCCGAAACGATAGTCCTTGAGGCTCACTCTTTCAGGCTATTTCCCTATTTTCCGCCTCACTTCAACCTTTGCCGCATCTCATTTATAAATAAATAATCCTCTTAAATTTATTGGCGTTCAATGGGCCTCGAAGCAGCTGTATTTATTTTCATATTTTACTGAAATAAATAATTTTGGTTACTTATAAATTCACAACATAAAGTACATGAATAAATCAACTCATGTTTCCAGAAATAAAAACGTTTATTTCTTTCCTTTCTACGTTACCTCTGAAGTACTTTTCTAGAAAACCCTCTCTTACCTTATATTTTTCTCGTAAAATTAATGTTCGCTTAGAATACGGCCAATTTGTTGATTGCTTTTTACTTTTGCTTATTCAAAATAAATTAAAGTATTTAACAAACTTTAAGTAATTGAAATGGAATTTTAGAAGCATCAACGTTCAATTGATTTCGATTCCAAAAATTGGGAAAAATATTTTGTACTTTGAAGTTTTTTCTGTTTATTTTCTTGGTAACTTAATTTAAGATCGTTTTCAT